TTAGGTGTCTACAGTCCATCAGTGGGACAGGGGATTGTATGTATATTGTTTGATTGTTCTACCCCTGTTCCCACTCTCCCTACCCTCCCCGTATTCTGTGACCACCGGGACCTCTCAAGTACCGCATCAGTACACACTGATGTCRATGGAACAGGATACCGGGGCACTGCCACGGCGCAGTGCCAGGCTCGCAGTTCGTGCTCGACCTACGGTACCTCCACGAACCAAGGCTCAGCAACAGAGACTCAGCGGGCGGACGACTCCAGCGGCATCGAGTACAACATTGACGGTACCGGACACSACCGGAGTTCTTCCCGCATGCCCGGTCCGAAGGGCCAGTGAGCCGTTGGCTGACTATTTTGGGCGGCTACAGGTATTTACAGATGCCGTAGCTGCCGCCAAGGCTCAGCAGGAGGCAGCAGAGGCAGCGTCAGCAGCTGGCCAATGAGGCGGCAGCCCAAGCTCAGCAGACTGCTGAGGCTGACGCAGCGGCACGAGACCAACGGAATGCCGCCAGTACGGAGTCCATGATTCATAGTGAAAGTCAGTGGACAACGTTCCTCCAAGGCATGATCTTGGTGCCTTCGGACGCGCAGGCAGATCCGACACCGGCGGAGCCAGAGAGGACTCACCTGGCTAACTTGATGCTGGGCATGATGAGAGGCATCATGTGGAATAACACACTGCTGCAGGCACATCTGCGCACGGAACGACAGCAGCGACAAAAGTACCAGCAAGACATTGCTGTTTTAACAACTGCCATCCACGCCGAAGCAACGGAGCAGCAGCAACAGCATCAGCTGTTGAACTCCGCTCTCGCACGCATCAACAGCATTGAGGCTAACGCCTCAGCAGCGCCAGGCTGCACGACAGACGCGACGAAGCAACTCAATGAGCGCATCGATCACGTCGTCACCATCATTGGCGACATAGGTGTTTTCAATGGGCCGGACACGATCAGTAGCACGGTGGCTGCCATCAAGACGGACATCACCAAGCTGCAGACGAGACTGGACGCCGCTACAAAGACTTACAAGATGCCGCACTTCGACATCAGCAAGTTCGACGACTACAACAAGTCGGACGCCTTGACATGGTGGCAACGTTTCCTCACGGRAGCRTCATGYCGCACTGTCCCGGCAGACGACATGATGAAGGCACTCTACTTGCAACTAATTGGAGGAGCGCAGGCTTGGATGAACCATCTGGCGGCTACCAACAAATGCACCATCGCCGAACTCCACACGGACATCACGTGGAAAGAGTTCGAGAAGCTATGGTTCACCCGGTTCATGGTTCGCAACGTCGTGAAGGCGTCCATGAACGAGGTGTACACCTGCTCTCAAGGAAATATGCCAACTCGAGACTGGACAACCAAGTGGCAGAAGATAGTGACCACGCCAGGATTCGATTTGAGTTTTCCAAATCAACGATCCGAGTTCTTCTCGCGATCGTGCGCGGGACTGCGGTCGGCACTCGGCAACGAGTACGACTATGACACGTTCCAGGCCATTCTGGATCGTGCGAACTTAGTCATCCAAACGGATGACAAGGCCGCAAACGAACGGCAGTCCCAGCCGCATTATGTGGCTAAGCAGG